CATAGGGTTTGGGTTTAGGGTTTAGGGCTTAGGGTTTAGGGTTTAGGGTTTAGGGTTTAGGGTTTAGGGTTTAGGGTTTAGGGTTTAGGGTTTAGGGTTTAGGGTTTAGGGTTTAGGGTTTAGGGTTTAGGGTTTAGGGTGTAGGGTTAGGGTTTAGGGTTTAGGGTTTAGGGTTTAGGGTTTAGGGTTTAGGGTTTAGGGTTTAGGGTTTAGGGTTTAGGGTTTAGGGTTTAGGGTTTAGGGTTTAGGGTTTAGGGTTTAGGGTTTAGGGTTTAGGGTTTAGGGATTTTCTTGGAACTTCCAGGCCATGACCTGAGCTGCCCGAACACGGTGGAGAAGACGCCCTGCGGGAGATTCCGGCTTGGGTCGCAGATGGACTGTAGGGATTAGGGTTTAGGGCTTAAGGTTTAGGGTTTAGGATTTGTGGTTAAGGGTTCAAGGTTAAGGGTTTGGCGCTTAGGGCTCTAGGCTTTCAAAATCAAAACCTCTAAGCTTACATACCTTGAAGCTTAGGGCCTTAGCTTTGACTTCTAGACCCTAAGCCCTAACCTTGCAAGCAACCTAAACCCTAAACCCTACACCCTACGCCCTCAAGACCCCCAACGAGGCCTCCCGTTGCTCGTCACTTCGGTGGTTAAGGCCAAGATCTTGGGGGTTAGGGTTTAGGGTTTAAGGTTCATTTAGGGTTTGAGGTCTACCAATTAGGGTTCAGGGTCTAGGGCGTCTTTGGCAGGACGACCGGGGAAATGGTTCGCCACACAGCTACAGTTCAAGGGTGCTTCTAACCACAATTAGAACTCTACGTATAAGCCCCCCTACTGTCCCGTAAGTAGGTTCTCTAAGTACAGTGAAATACCCCTCTCTATACCCCCCTAGGTCCCCCCAATAATTCAGACTATTTAGCGATGATTAAGCCAAATTATGGTTATTTAAGGGGGGAACTTGGGGGGGGGGGGGGGGGTAGTAGCCCTAAACCCTAAACCCTAAAAGTGCAAAAGACTTCTCAGCAACAGCTGTTCAGAACCCTAAACTCTAAACCCTAAACCCTAAACCCCACAGAGGAGGGGGGGGGGGGGGGGGGGGGCGGCATTGAGGTTACAAGTACACCTGAGCCTCCAAGTAGGTCTTGGAGGCAGCCAGGGAAGCCAGGCTTTGGGTCTACTTGAAGGTTCATGGTACTTACTCACCAATCATAACTGTGCTCATAACCCTACTTATAATTGGGATGACCCCTATAAGGCCCTTTAGGGGCATTATAAGTAGGGTTATAAGTACAGTTATAATTGGTTAGCAAGTACCATGAACCTTCAAGTAGGGTGTCCGCATCCCACGTGAAGCGAGGCCCTCATCTCTAGACCCTAAACCCTACATCCGAAACCCTAAACCCCATACTCAAGACCCCAAACCCTAAACCCTAAATCCTAAATCCTAAATCCTAAATCCTAAACCCTAAACCCTAAACCCTAAACCCTAAACCCTAAACCCTAAACCGACTCGGGGTGGCAGATCATGCTCAACCCGCAATGTACGCTGCCCTGAACTCTGCTTCCCCAAGTGGGCTGCGGGTTTTCGAGCTTACGAGTCTTGAGCTTGGGGTGAAGGGTCTAGGAGTTGAGGGTTCCTTCAACCCCCAAACCCTAAACCCTAAACCCTAAGCCCTAAACCCTAAACCCTAAACCCTAAACCCTAAACCCTACAGAAGTTTAAGGAGCCTGGCCCAGCCTCACCGGCCGCCTCAGAGCTGCCACCGCCACTGCTGCGCAGTCCTCTGAGCCCGAAACCCTGTACGCCTTGTGAACTAGGGTGCAGGGCTTAGGGTTTAGGGTTTACGGCTTAGGGCTTAGAGTTTAGGCTTTAAGGGTTTAGGGCTTAGGAGATGGGGGTGGTAGGGATTTAGCGTACTTGGGGTTTTACGGGATTTGGAGATTCAGGGTTTGGGGCTCCGGGTTTGGGGTTCGGGCGTTAGAGCTTGCAGGGAAGCCAAGTTTAAACCCCAACCCCTAAACCCTGAACCCTGGACCCGAAGCCCTAAACCCCAAACCCCAAACCCTAAACCCGAAACCCTCAACCCTCAACCCTAAACCCTAAACCCTAAACCCTAAACCCTAAACCCTAAACCCTAAACCCTAAACCCTAAACCCTAAACCCTAAACCCTAAACCCTAAACCCTGAATCCATCCTTGCTCTCCCAGACCGGCGCTGAAGAGGATCAGTCCTCGGGCTGGCGAACGGTAGGGCTCTAATTCGTGGGGTGGAGGGAAGTTGAGGTCTGGGGTTTAGGGTTTAGGGTTTAGGGTTTAGGGTTTAGGGTTTAGGGTTTAGGGTTTAGGGTTTAGGGTTTAGGGTTTAGGGTTTCGGGTTTCGGGTTTCGGGTTTAGGGTGCAAGGCGCAGGTTTTCAGGCTGAATTTATAGGTTTCCCAAGAAGGCACCACAAGTTGGAAAGCTGACCCTCTTGTGTTTAGGGATCAGGGTGTGGGGATATTGGGGGGTTTAGGGTTGAAGGTTTAAGGTTTGGGGTTTGGGGTTTGGGGTTTGGGGTTTAGGGTTTAGGGTTTAGGGTTTAGGGTTTGGGTTTAGGGTTTAGGGTTTATGAAAAAAACCTGCAACCCCCTAAAAATATTAATCCCAAGGGTCCCAAAGCCAAAAGCAGCTGTCGTCCCTGGGCCACCATTGGTTCGCTAGCCTGGCTAGGTGTAGGGTTTAGGGTTTAGGGTTTAGGGTTTAGGGTTGAGGGTTTAGGGTTTAGGGTTTAGGGTTTAGGGTTTACGGTTTAGGGTTTAGGGTTTAGGGTTTAGTGTTTAGGGTTTAGGGGTTCAGGGCACGCGCTGAGGCGGGATGAGGCGCGTCGATCAAAGGACTTTGAGACTTATGCCCTAAACCCTAAACCCTAAGCCCTAAACCCCTAAACCCCTAAACCCTGAACACTTCAAACTCTAAACCCTGGCAAGCCTGAAGCCCCAACATCTTGACCCCCAAGCCCTAAACCCCCAACCTTAAACTCCAAGTCCTAAACCCTATAAGCCCGACTTGCTTGGAGTGTGGCGCCTCGGGGTCTTCGGGGTTAGGACCTTAAGAGGTTTCGGGTTTAGGGTTTTTAAGGTTTGGGGTTTAGGGGTTTAGGGGTTTAGGGGTTTAGGGGTTTAGGGGTTTAGGGGTTTAGGGGTTTAGGGGTTTAGGGGTTTAGGGGTTTAGGGGTTTAGGGTTTAGGGTTTAGGGTTTAGGGCTTAGGGCTTAGGGCTTAGGGCTTAGGGTTTAGGGTTTAGGGTTTGGGGTTTGGGGTTTGGGGATTAGGGTTTAGGGTTTAGGGTTTAGGGTCTGTATGGATTTGGGTGTAGGGCTAACCGGGCTCGGACTTTGAGGGGTTGATGGTTCGGGGCTTCTCGGACTTTGGGTTTATAAGGGTCTGCGGGCACGTGTTGCGTCTGGGGTTTCGAGTTTAGGGCTTCGGGTTTGAGGCTAGGATGGCCCTGAAAGCCCTCCGAAAAATATTCCTAAATATGACCTTCTTAACCCAACAACGGAAATACAAATTGTTTCAAGGGTACCTAGAAGGAAGCCGCCCGCCCCCGCCCCCCCCCCCCCCATTTCCCGGCTCAACTCGCGTCGGTCAGGCTAATCGCGTGTAGAGAGCAAGCGCCCCTGTCTGAGAAATGATGGAAGAAGTCTACTTGCCCTCAAAGCCGGTGGCAACAACGGTTCCGGGTTTAGGGTTTAGGGTTTAGGGTTTAGGGTTTAGGGTTTAGGGTTTAGGGTTTAGGGTTTAGGGTTTTAGGGTCCGCCGACCCTGGCGGCGTGTTGGATGGGAAATCCTTGCCCCCCCAAAACGCGGGGGGGGGGGGGGGGGTAGGGGGGGGGTACCCGGGCAGCTTTTCCATGGAGGGCCAGGCCACCCACACCGCATAAACTCACGGACCATAGGCGGTTTCGCACAGGACATAGGGGTCCTTTGGGAAAAAAACCCACCCAGCCCGGGGCAAGCTGGCTTCAGCTCCTGTTTGCTGCTCCAGCGGGGTCGGCGGCTTGAGCCGGAGGCTCTTAAATTTAAAGCCGGTGGCAAGAACAACCCCCTGCTTCTCAGAAGGGAATGGGCTGGGACCCCCCTCAAACCTTCTGAGACTCTCTGGACTTTGCTCGGCAAAACCCTCCCGGGCCTTTTCTGGGATTCTGGACTGAAGCCTTCTCCCTGGCAACCATTAGTGACGGAAGACGATTTATGCAAGTAAGCAACTGTCCTGAGTTTATACCCTTAACCCTGAACCCTAAATTCCTAGCCCTAAACCCTAAACCCTAGATTCCCAACCCTAAAAAGAGCCTTTTCAGGACCCCTTCCAGAATTTCCTGGCCCTAAATCTCCATGGCACACTGTCCAGTGCCACTTCTTCAACCCCAAACCCCTAACCCCTAACCCAAAAGCCTAAACCCTACATCCTAAACCCTGAACCCTGAACCCTGAAAGCCCTAGGCCCGTCTTGTCTGCCCCAGCACTTCCGACCAAAGTCTCCTTTTCTTGCGGCGTTCGGGTCTCGCGAAGCTCTGGCCGTTCGCGCAGCTGCCAGGTGTGGGGGTTTAGGGTTTAGGGGTCTAGGGTCTAGGGTCTAGGGTCTAGAGTCTAGGTAGGGTCTAGGGTCTAGAGGTCTAGGGTCTAGGGTCTAGGGTTTCGGGTTTTCGGGTTTCGGGGTTAGGGCTTAGGGTTTAGGGTTTAGGGTTTTGGGTGTGTTTGGCAGAGCATCTTGAGCACCGAGGCTTTTCAGGAGCTTACTCTAGAGGTCAACGTTTGGGTCTAGTGTTTTAAGGGCTTTCGAGTTTAATTAGGGTTTCGGGTTTCGGGGTTAGGGTTTTGGGTTCCCGGCTTCCGCAGCTGGCGCAGGCTGTGGGGGCTTTGTGCATCGACAGAGGCCCTTTTCAAAAGCCTGGCCATTGTCTTTTTAAACCGCATCCGATTGCCTTAGCTGATCGGGCGGAGATGAAAATTTCGCGAAGCTGGAGGCGCCTGCCTCCCTCAGAGACTTTCCTTATTGACCGCGAGGTCTTTCTGGTCTTCCCGGTCTGCCGAGCCTCCGGTTGAGTCAGGTGGGCCCCCGGAATCGGTCTTGGACGGCGCAACGGCAAGGGGCTGTAGGTCTGGCAAGCACTGCCACAGCAGGATGGCAGGTATGCTCCACAGCCCCAGAGTTGTCAGCTGCGCGTTCAGTGGGCTGGATATGACTTCCTGGACAACAAACGCATGAACCAGGTACGGAAGGCCGACAAGGAAGACTCCAACTGCAGTCACGGCCACGGAGACCATGAAGTCCAGGCAGGCCCTGCCGCAACGTGCCCGCAGCGCGTGCGTCAAGCGCAGCGCAATCTTCACGGCAAAGGGATAAATCACCAGCAGATCGGTACACGTTTCAGCCAGCTCCACCAGGGCTTCCTCTGCTGGCCACCGCGACATGAAGTCGCACGCCAGCCAGAGACCAGGAAGGGTTGCCTGCACGATGTGACTGTACGTAATCGAGCGATTACGCAGCTGATGAGATAGAGCCTTCCGCTCCCGCGTCCGCACCTGCTCCTCGAAGCTTGCCAGTGAACCAAACAAAGAAGCGATGCATGAGAACAAAATCCTGCGGTCGCAATAAGGCTTGTCACAGCCTTCCCCAACAGGACAACAGGCACAGGTACTCTGTGCGAAGGTGAACTGACTTGCTTGCTGCTCCATGGTGTCAACATCGCGCCAGTATGATCGAGCCGCATGGCCTGCCCCTAACAAGCAGCAGAAGGCCACGACAAAGACCGGAACCCTTCCTCCGACCAAGAAGACCGGCTCGAAGAGGAACATCAGAAGCACAAAGCCTTGGTAGCCCAGAAATTATATTGTAATAAGGGCACCCGTTAAAAGGGGGGTTGGTCGCCTTTGGTATGGGAATCTTGAACCCAAGAAAGGGAAAAGGGTACCACAGGCACTACCCAGAAGCCGAACTGAAATCCCAGCCGCAGCACTCCCAACAATGGCGGGCAGACGGTGATGCTTGCCCGGGTCCCAGGCGGGCGGCTGCCGACGAAGGTGGCCAGCTCATACATGCACCACAATCCTTTCTCTTGCCTACCGGCTACCAGTTTTGAGTTGCAGCTGTTTGCCACACTAGAACCAGGAGAACCGTCCAGCCCAAGCAAACTAGGCCCTAAACCCTAAACCCTAAACCCTAAACCCTAAACCCTAAACCCTAAACCCTCAACTCAAAAAAAGACCTAAGCGCAGAGGGCAGCCCAAGGCTCGGGAAGTGTAAATTGAGTGCCAAAACACCACCATCCGTCTGCTCCTCTTCAGCATGGCGCCCAAGCCTTACTGTTGGCTAGTAGGGATGAGGTACCCTATATCGTCCCTTAAATATATCGGGGGACATAGGGTACCTCGTGCCCTCATTCCCTACTAACCAACAATAAGAAGCTGGCAATCCCATGGGATTTCAGCTCCTCGTCGCTCTGGTTGATGCTTGCGAGGTCGAAAAACACCGTCTGCCGCGATTGCCACAGGAGCAGGGTCAGGTAGTTCACGACACATGCCTAGGACGGCCCCGTGAGAACCCTCTGAAGAATCTTCCTGAATCTGCTCCTCTATAAGCCCAAGAAAGGAAGAACCCTAAACCCTAAACCCTAAACCCTAAACCCTGTTCCAAGGGCCGACCTAGATGCCGAAATGGTGCACCATCCTGCACCCGTGGGTCCCAAAGGAGGCAGGTGCCCAAACCGAGTTGAAAGGCAGACCACGATTGCGGCCGCCGAAGCGAGCACCGATGCCGGCAAACCTATACTGAACTTGGAACCCTAGCAGAAATTGTAATTTTTGCTGTTTCTTGGTCTTAGGAATTCAAGTACCCCAAAATGAAAAGTTATTTCCAAGTATCCCTAAGAAACCATGGTGCAGCAAGAGCACGTTCGCGATCTTGGGGCAGGCTGGCGCACTCCAAGCATGGGACCAAAACTCATCAAACTCGGCGACCTGCACAGAGTGACGATGCAGATGCCCCAGCTTCCCGCGCCACCAGTATGAAGGAAAATGGCGCAGGAGTTGGCGCAGCGGGATTCCGCGCACCACGTGCGGCTGAGTGGGAATCATGGTGGAGACCAACACAGAATACAAGTGTTCCGACAAGGTACTCTCAGCCACGGCGCCCACGCGCTGCTGTAGCCCAGCGCTGCTCATGGCGTGACTTTGCAACCACCTGAGTTGCAAGAAGGGGACGAACCTACGTTGACACTCCAGCAAGCCAAGGAAGCCAAACAAGGAGCTTAAAAGCGCCCCAAGACCGCAGACCCCAAACACAACACCTTAGTTGTCCAGTACCTAGGGGGGACTACAGGATAACCTTTGGGCTGATAAGGGGATGATAGTACCCCAAAAAGGTTAAAGGTTGCCTACTCTACTACTGAGACACCCAAAAAACTTGCAAGTTCAAATACTACGCAAGACAAGCAAGGGCCCGCGCCGATGCAGGGACCAGACGGTAGAGAAACTGACCATCCCTTCGATCCTCTTGGAAGCCCAGGCCCTTCTAAACCTCTGAATCCCAAACTCTAAACCCTAAACCCTAAACCCTAAACCCTAAACCCTAAACCCTAAACCCTAAACCCTAAACCCTAAACCCTAAACCCTAAACCCGACAGCCCCAAGACCCTAAATCCTTCTTTTCTGTCGCAGCACTTCTGACCCAAGCCGCGGAGTTGTGAGTCTGAGAAGCTCTTGCCACAGGCGCAGCTGCCAGGTGGTGGGGTGGGGGTGGGGGGACATGAGGATTTAGGGTTTAGGGTTTAGGGTTTAGGGTTTAGGGGATTAGGGGTTTAGGGATGTTTAGGGCTTGGGCTTTCGGGGTTTTGCGTTTAAGGTTTAGGGCTCAGGGGTTCGGGGCTTTAGGAAACGGAGGGTTAGGGTAGAGGGTTTAGGGGCTTAGGGGGTTGAGACTATTAAGGGTTAATAAACGTTGGGCTTAAGGGGCTTAAGGGGCTTCAGGGGCAAAGGGGGCAGCAGCTTCTAACCGCCCCTCGTGAAGGTCCCTTGAGATTGGCTCCGACGCCGATTCCATCCACATTTACAGAGTTTTTGCTTGACATGCCGAAAACACCACTGCCACCGGTGGCTTCGCCGCTGCGAATTCCGCATTATCACGCACGTCGAAAACACCGTTATTTGCAGTGTTTCGCGCGCGTCCGTCTGCGAAACCCCTGTGTTTTTTCGGCGTGTTCGCTTCTTCTTCTTCTTCTTCTTCTTCTTCTTCTTCTTCTTCTTCTTCTTCTTCTTCTTCTTCTTCTTCTTCTTCTTCTTCTTCTTCTTCTTCTTCTTATTCTTCTTCTTCTTCTTCTTCTTCTTCTTCTTCTTCTTCTTCTTCTTCTTCTTCTTCTTCTTCTTCTTCTTCTTCTTCTTCTTCTTCTTCTTCTTCTTCTTCTTCTTCTTCTTCTTCTTCTTCTTCTTCTTCTTCTTCTTCGTGTTTCGGGCAGAAAGCATCCATGTCCGCGCGATGATAACGTCTGTGTTTACCACTGCGTGCGAATGGCCAGAGCGTCCATGTCCGCGCGATGAGAACGTCCGTGTTACCACTGCGTTCGCATACATCCTAGATCCTAAACCCCAAAGCCCCAGTTGGGAGTTGAGGGTTTAGGGAGGAAGGCCTACGCTAAAGCACCTCGAAAACATGCGAAGTAAACATTCCCGTTGGCCCCTTTGTACCTTTATTTACAGTAATCAAAACAGAGTTCAGCATGGTGAAGAGCACTTTCTATGAGCCGTACAATAACTACGTGCGTCCACCGGGTACACGCCGGCCATGTTTTCTATGGTTTCCAGCTTTGAAGGCTTTTGCGACGCGCGCTTTCATTGCGCCGGAGCGTTCAGATCGATAAGGCCGAAACCCGAAACCCTCAACCACTAAACCTAAACCCTCAACCCTCAACCACAAACCCTAAACCCTCAACCCTGAACCCTGCAGCACCTTGAACCCATCGTGGTCAGCGCTTGGGGGTTTCTAGGGGACTCAAGGAATCCCCCAAGCGCCCCCTCCTCGGGAAGGGGGCGATTCGGACTGGCAGCTGTTGCTCGCCGATCTTTGTAGGCAAATTTGGTTGAAACTGCACTGAGGCGGCTAACTTGCCCCAAAGGGGTCCATCTACCAATGATGGTAGAGACCTCGGCCCCTAAGAGGGTTCCTATTATGCACCGATGATAGTAGCTACTTCCACCCCAACTGGGGGTTCCTCTTGAAGTAGCCTTAGGGTCGGAAGAAGGTACTTCGGCCGTAAATGGGTTCCTATAATCATAGCTTTAGGGGCCTCTAAGTCTAGACGATCTAGGATAACATGGAACCCTTAGGATTGCCCAGGCTTCCTGCCAGAGTTCTGGGCATGGAGCTTAGGGTTTAGGGTTTTAGGGTTTTAGGGTTTAGGGTTTCGGGTTTAGGGCCTCATGAAACTGAGTCGCTCGCCGCCTGCGCGACGAGCGAAGCTAACGCACAATCAAGCGAATAGCAACGCTTGGGAGACGCGAAGCCGGTCTAAGGTTGAGGTTTAGGGTTTAGGGTTTAGGGTTTAGGGTTTAGGGTTTAGGGTTTAGGGTTTAGGGTTTAGGGTTTAGGGTTTAGGGTTTGGGGTTTGGGGTTTAGGGTTTAGGGTTTAGGGTTTAGGGTTTAGGGTTTAGGGTTTAGGGGTTCTCTGTGTTCTTGGGCAGAAAGAGTTTAAGGACCGTTTCGCTTCTGTAAGGGGTGTGTAAGGGTACCAAGATCTAAGCAGGAACCCCAAAACCTGGTTTAGGGATCAGGCATGGGGTTGAGGTTTAGGGCAATGTCTCGCTGTGATGCGCATACCCTAAACCCTAAACCTTAGACCCTAAACCCTAGACTCTAAACTGTTGAACTTAACGCCCCTTTTGAAAGAGGGATGACGAATCAGGGGCAAGCCACGTCTGTCACGCAAGCAATCTTGAGGGCTGACAGACGCAAGCAATCTTGAGGGCTCTCAGGATTTAGGGTTTTA